AAGCTACTCTCACCTGGATTACTTCGGTAGCTTCCTGCTTCTCTCTCTACAGTCGTTTCTACAGAGCAGCCAGGGTGAGGGCTTCAAATTGTTAAGTCAGATCACAGTCTGCTCAGGACCCTCCAGTGGTTCACTTCCCCATCAGAGCAAAACCAAAGTCCTGAGGCACCTGGGTGGTTCAGTCGGTTAAACATCCGATTTTAGCTCAGGTCATGATCTTGCAGTTCGTGGGTTCCAGACCCACATCGGGCTCTGTGCTGACAGTTCAGAGCCTGGAGCCTGCTTTGGATTCTGTGTCTCCTTCCCTCTCTATTTCTCTCTCTCTCTCTCTCTCTGCTCCTCCCCCACTTGCACTCTGTCTCAGTCTCTCAAAAATAAACAAAGTCCTTGTGTGGCCTTCCAGGTCAAACACTGTCTCACTGCAGCCCCCTCCTTAGTTCCATCCCCTGTCTCTCTCCCTTATCCCCTGCCCACAGCTGCTGTTCCTGGATCCCTAAGTAGTCCTGCCTCAGGGCCTTTGCATTGCTGTTTGCCTTATAAGCATGTTTGCCCCTCCCCTTTTTTATTTAAAACTATTTTTTGATGTTTGTGAGAGAGAGTGAGCATGAGTGGGGGAGGAGCAGAGAGGGAGACAGAGGATCCAAAGCAGGCTCCACACTATGACCACAGAGCCTGACATGGGGCTTGAACCCATGAACCATGAGATCAAAACCTGAGCTGAAATCAAGAGTTGGCTGCTTAACTGACTGAGCCACCCAATGCCCCACTCCCTTCCCCCTTTTAAATTGGGATCTAGTTGATATAAAACATGCATGTTTTGTATCATGCACATGATTTTAAATCATGCACATGCACATGATTTGATATGTGTATATGAAATGATTAACACAATGTGACATCCAGGCCTTACAAACATACCATACAGTATTATAAATTATAGTTCCCATGCTATGCCTTACATCTCCAGGACCTGTCTTCTAACTGGAAGCTTGTACCTGTGATCCCCTTCACCAATTTTGCCCAGTCCCCAGCCCACCCCTTGTTTCTTAAGGTCTGTGATCAGATGTCCCTCTTGTGCCTTCTTTGATCACATGTATAAAGTGGCAGTCCCCCCTCTCCCCAACTTGCCATCCCCTCTGTGTTCTCTCTGGCCTCTACCACTTACCACCAGGTGCTGATCTGCTTCCCTCCTCGGAACGGGGCTCCAGACCTGCTCTGTCTGCCCCACTGCCTTGTCTTCAGCACTCGATCAGGGCCTCAGCTGCAGCAGGCACACAGTGCGCACTGCTCAGGCCTCAACACCTGCCTTTTGCTTGGATCACAGAATCCTGTTCGTGGAGCTGAGTTCTACATCCTAAGTCATAGAATGTCCCCAAAGTTGGGAGAAATGGAGGCACATTTTTCTTGACCACTCCTCCCCTTTCTCCATTTTCTAAAAACTGAAATCAAGGTGATAAAGATCAACTTGGAGCTGCTAAGAGACAGAATTGCCACTTCAATCATGTTTAAATCATGTGGCTCATTTTTTATCTTTTTTAAAATAACAGCTCTATTGAGACAGAAGTCATATTCTGTAAAACTTGCCCTTTTGAAGTGTTAAGGGTGTTCAGTATATTCAGAGTCAAGCAACCATTACCCCTCCAAAAGAAACCCTGCACCCTTTAGTAGTGCCTCCCCCGCCCCCCAGTCTGAGGCAACCACTAACCTACTTTGTGTCTCTGCAGATAGTCATCCAGTAGGTGGGCTTTGGGGATGATGTTTTTTTCACTTGGCTTCATGTTTTCGGGGTTCATCCGTGTTGTAGTAAGTCCATACTTGATTTCTTTTTACGGCTGAATGATATTCTGTCCTGTGGGTGGGTTATGTTTGGTGTATCCATTCATCAGTTGGTTGAGGCTGGGTTGTTTCTACTTTTGGCTATTGTGAATAATGCCGCCTAAACATTCATAGAGGAGTTTTGTGTGCATGTGTTTTCAGTTCTTTTGGGAATATACCTAGCAAGAGAACTGCTAGGGCACTTGGTAACTGTTTAACTCCTGGAGGAAGTGCCAGACTTTTCCAGAGAGGCTAGGCTGCACCATGTTACATTTCTACCAACAGCATATGATCCAATTTTTCCACATCAACACCTGTTACGGTCACTTTGATGACAGCAAACCTAGAGGGTATGAAGTAGGATTTATTCTTTATCCCTAGTTATTTAAAAAACAAAACAAAACATTGTGACCCGTGATTGAACACTGCCTGCCACAACAAAACAAACACACCCCTTTTTCTCCCCAGCTGAAACAGAACCTCATGAGGGAAAGAGGAAAGTGGAATCTCTGTGGCCCATCTTCAGGATCCACCACCAGAAAACCCGCTATATTTTTGACCTCTTTTATAAGCGGAAAGCCATAAGCAGAGGTAATTAGCTAAATTCTCTTGGCCTGGACAACTTGAGTGGCTTTCACATTTATTTAATGGTTCTTATTCTTACAGCCTTAGCAAATGTCATTTGTCTTATCACTAAAAAAGGCGGGGAGGGGCCACTGTTGGCGAAATAGTCTTTTTAAGGAAGAGTGGTGATGGGTTGGGGCAGCTGTGTTATACCGTGGTCTGATGCCCTTTCCCCATTTTTTGGACAGAACTATACGAATATTGTATTAAAGAAGGCTACGCAGACAAAAACCTGATCGCAAAATGGAAAAAGCAGGGGTATGAGAATTTATGCTGCCTGCGGTGCATTCAGACACGGGACACCAATTTTGGGACGAATTGCATTTGCCGGGTCCCCAAAAGCAAGCTGGAAGTGGTAAGTGAGGTCTCCGCCCCTGTAACATCTGATGATCAAGTTGGAGGTTCCTTTTTCAGTTCAGAAGTGTGTCCTGGGTGACGCCAGGGGATTTTACACTGTTTTGTTGGGCTGGAATGTAGTCCTTATTGCTGGATGGCCTGCTGGCCATTCCCGAGAGAGGGAATCGCTCTCTCGGGGAACCCACACCCGGCAGTTTGGCAGCAATGGCATGTTAGGTCTGGTGGGGGGGGGGGTCAGTCTCAACTCTACCCTTGGGCAAGTTACTGAAGTCCTTCCTCATGTATGACCTGGGGGTGGGAAGGCTGAGTCAGGGAAGCACAGGCCAGTAAGCAGACATTCCTGTCCTTCCCCTCTGGGGCTCACTCTTCAGGTACCCTATTTTCCAGGCCTCCTTTTCCTCAGAATTACACTGTATTTCTTCTGTCAGAACCTTGTTCTCTGGGGAGCTCCGGAATGATGCTGCGTGTGCAGTAGCTGAGCTGACAGCGTCAGCCTCTCTGAACTGGAGCTAGAGAAGGGAGGCAGACAGTTACTGTGATGTTACCCTTAGTGGCCTTTGAGTGCAGCACCCTTGGCTGCTCGTTGTGGGCCGAGCCAGGTGGTCAGACTGGACTGCCCGCCTCCCAGTTGGCCGCCTGTCACACAGGTGCCTCATCACAGGGTCCCTCTATGCTGCACACTAGTTACAGTTTACAGAGCTTTGACTCCAGGCATGGGGCTTTAGCTCAGCAGGTAGCTCTGTCTCCCTGAATCACCTGGAAGGCCAAAGGGCAGGGGGCATCGGAGAGGGCTGCCTCCCCAAGGGAAGAATCTGGGTGTGAATTTTCTGGTAGGGGCAGGGAGAGGTGGTGAAGTGGCAGAAGCCTCCCCTCTGAGAGCCCCAGGATTCTGTGGTGGCATTGGGTCCGGGGTGCTGCCCCAGCCCTGCGGCCAGGATAGAGCCTGCGTTAGCTTTAGTTGGGTTTCACCTTCTGATCTTGTTTGCTTAGGTAAGGGTCTTGCTCCTCCAAAACAGGAAAAAGGAAAATCAACACAAACCACTGCTCTAGGGCCTTCTGTTGGGTAAGCCCCCAGCCAGACATTGGGGCCCACCTAGTCCAGGGGATAGGACTCTTCGGCTGCCATACAGATTCAGGTGTACATCCTCTTTCCCGGTGCCCCCACTAGAAAGTTCCCCAGCCCAGAGGCCCCTGGCACTGAGCCCCAAGTAGTACACAGACCCAACTTCCAGCGTATTGAAGGGTGTGTCATGCTCACTTCATAGAATAACAAGAGTTGCTCACAGGTTTTTTTTTTTCCCTTTTGTGGTGGGGGGATAAGCATGTACATAGAATTTGCATATATTAAGTGCACAGAAGTGTAGCTTCAGGGTCCACAGTAGCTGTTTCCATCCATCATGAAGGGCTTTTTGAAGAGTGTCACGGTAGACCGTGAATGTCCCACCACCTTCTTGGTGGGAGGATTGCTGCGTGTGGGGGGAGGGGTGACACGTGGTGGAAGTGCGGTGTCTCAGCTGTCCTCTGTTGCAGGGCCGGATCATCGAGTGCACGCACTGCGGCTGTCGGGGCTGCTCTGGCTGAGGCCCTCGGGCCCTGACCTCTCTTCACCCTGAACCTTGGACTTCGCAGGTTTCTGCCTGTCGCATCACGCCCTCTCCTGGGAGCAGCTCTTCTCGCAGAGCGGTGCTCCAGGCCCGAGTGGGAGCATGGTCTCTACATATTAAAGCTTTGGTGTTTATCAGCTGTGATTTGTAGAAATAAAACTTTTAAACCTTTTGGGCCCTGCATTTGTTCTTTCAGAGAGCCAGCCATCTGTAGAACCCAGTGGGTGAGCACCAGACCCCAGGGACCCGTCACCCTTGGGACTCAATCCTGACTCTACCTTGTAGGTGGTGTGTGACTCCGAGCCAGTTCACTTTCCCCATCGGTGATGGGGGCAAGGATGACCTGAGAGGACGTGCCAAGGTCAGCCGGTCTGCTCTTGGACCTGCCATGGACTCGTCAGGCCCTGGGCCCAGTGTGTCCTCGTACCTATGCCTGCAGAATGCTGTAGTGCTTCCTCTGGGCCCGACCATTCCCTTGCGCGGGAGGCCACTGGAACACATTTGTGGGTCAGCTATGGAAAGCATCCCGGGGCTCCCATGGAGCCCTGTAAACACCACGCACTCTGTTCCAGCTCTGCCGGAAGTCCCCGGGGCCTCCCTTCACCTGCTTCCAAGGCCTCTGTCCATGTCAGCCTCAGTGATGGCGTCTTGGTTCCCCTTGGGCTTGGTCCGGAACTTCTGCCACGGGTGGGGGGTTTCCTCTGCTGGCATCACTTTCAGCCACTGCTTGTAATAAGCTCGGAAGCCATCAATCTTCTCCAAGTAGGTGTTTTTCTCTTTGTACTACAAATGGAAACGCATGGGGTTCAGAGGAGCCATTAGTCATTGCAGGCTACCTGTAGCTAATCCCAAGCCATGGCAGCTGGCTCAGGCCTCAGGGAAGATGTTCTTGCTCCTAGGTGGTTAAAGGGAGAGGGCAGAAGAGTTGTTCGGTCCCTGAGCAGCTTATGTAGAGAGACAAAGCTGCTGTGGGGTAGACCAGACTTCCTCTGCTAACACTCCTTCGAAATACGAGCTGCCGTGCCACACCAGGGACGTCACCCCAGCCCCCCAAGCTAGAATCCTCTAACTCTGCCTCCACAGCCTGAGTGCCTCTCTCCATTCTCAGCACTGCTGTAGTGGTCTCTGGAGAGGCAGGCAGGAAAGGAGCAAACAGCATGAACCTGGCAGATCCCAAAGGAAAGCTGGCAGAGGAATATGTACAAAAAAACCCAAAAAATGTCCAAGTTGAAGACTTACCACATGATGACAAACAGTCTGATTTAAAAGATTCAACCATTCTAAATTTGTATGTATCTCATACAGCCTAAAAGTACATAAAACAAAAACCTGACCATCTCAAATGGAAATACATCACCGTCGTAAGGGAATACAAATGTGATTTCAATCCAATAAGTTTTGGGCCTGTGGTAGTCCGGTGACTTGACTGAACCTGAGAAGACCCCCCGAGGGCCCTACACCACGGAGTAAAGAGATCTACGAACTAGAAGATATTGCAACATGGAGCCAACAAAAGATTAGCATCCAAAATACATAACTCGGAAGAACCAATGAGAAGACTTAACCAACTGTCCAAATACTCCCTGCTGTGCCCTCTGCCAGGCACGCTCTCTACTGCCATCTCATGAATTCTTACTGGGCCTTCAAAATGGCATTCCAGCATTGCACCGGCACGGCTGTCCCTGACCCCATGCCTTGCTGTGTCCCTGCCAACTCCCTACCCCCTGGGATTGTGCTCCTTCCTCCAGGCCACAGCTGCTCTGGAGCCACTCAACACAGAGTCTGGCTCCGTAGACCTAAAATCTGAGCCCCCTACCCCCACCCTGCCCCCGAGCCTGCTCTCTTCAGAACAACAGGGAAAGAAGTGGCCGGGACAAAGCAGATTCTTTCACTGCTGCTGCTGTCCCATTCACTTGACAAACAGACTGTATTAGGCACTGGGCAATGGGCAGGCCCCGGGGAGCCAGCAGAGCCAGGCAGTCTCCAGCTCCAGGGGCTTATGGTTTTGCAAAGGTGAAAGTCACGTGCACGTGTAATGACAGGTTGTGAAGCATGGCAAAAAGGAACAGTGCTGTACGTGATGGGAAGGGGCAGCAGTAGTGGGGCAGCTCTGAGAGAGTCATTCAAACTGAGGCCCACAGGATGAAGAGCCAGTTGTGGGAAAAACGGGAGCCTATCAAGGCAGAGGGAATACAAAAACCCCAAGGCAGGAAAGAGGCCAGTAGGACTGACCGTGAATACAGGGAAGAGTAGCCTAAGATGAAATGAGCCCCAGGGACAGAGACTCACGGGCTGTGTTTTGAAGAATTTGGAATTTCTCCTAAGGGAAGCCACTGACAGTTTAAAGCAACGGAATTCCACCGCTGAAAGGCCGGCCCTAGGGGTGAGGGGAAAGGCAGGGGTGGTTAAAGAGAAGACAGGTGAGTTGGAACTTGGTGCACACACCCGATCAAAGCTGGGTGGGTACTGGGCTGCAAACTCCAGTTGGCGGATGACCACCTCATTCACCGGGACTCTGTTCTGCCTCATGTCCTTCAGGATGTCAATGAGATAGGTGTAGTCCAGCCTCTTGAGGGCGGCGTTGATGAGGGTGCTGTAGATGTGGGTGTTGGGAGTCATCTGGGATTTCTGGAACATCACAGACATACAATCAGCAAGGAGATGGCCACTGTTGGGACAAAGCAGCCTACCGTGCGTGTCAGGCTAGGGGGCTTACCTTGCTGTTCAGGCCTGCTCTGCAGACCAGCAACCAGGGCAAGAAGGGCAGAACCCTGTGGCAACGATGGGCTGTCCTTCCTGCTCCAGGAGGAAAGCGTGTGCCCCCACGTGGCAGGCCCAGACCACCCAGCTGAGGATCCTACCCTCTCAGCCCTGAAGAACTTGCTCAGAAATCAGTGGACTCGGGCAGTAAACCACGTGCAGACCACCTCTTCGGCTATTGGCTGTAGGTTTACCGCAACCCCTGCCCCCAAAGTTCTGATAGATCCCTGCTCCGGTCATACCTTCCGTCCCTCCAGAACCGGGCCTAGTCTCTCCCCACGACCTCCCTCAATCTCTCCCACCACAGCCACCTTGAAGACTGTCACACCCTCTGCTTTCAATGCCGGCTCCTGCAGCAACTGACCAGGGTCCACTTTCTCTCACATTGGGCCAATGACCATTATACACTTGAAGCTAGAGCATCCCTACTCCCCACCCCCATGCACACTGTTTATGCTGTCTGGGTGCAGAGGCCTGGGGGTTCAGGAGGGCCCAGGCCCTCTCTTCCCAAGTACTCCCCCCCCCTGAATTCTCAGCACCTGGCCTGGCCAGGACCCACTCACCTTCATGTCTGCGAGTAGTCGCAGGCCGTCCCCTGGCCTGTGGCACCCAATGGCCAGGTTGCAGAACGTCTGCAGGTTGGGAAGGATCCCCCTCTTTGCCAGGAGTGGCAGCAGAGCCTGTGGGGACAGACATGGCACTTCTGTAAGCTGTAACCCACCCGGCCCAGCCAGAGCCTTCCCTGGTTGAAGCCCCGGTTGGGTGCTGTAGGCCTCGGGGGCACAGCAATGCTCGGGGGCCTCGCAGCCCCCTCTGCAGCCACGCTAGATGCTGCAGGACTACCCTGCCTTCTCCCCGAACGTGAATGGGAACATGAATCCCTTCACATTCCTGTCTCTGTTCCACTGTCGGTCATCCACCCTGGCCTTCGGCCTTCAGTGTCTAAGGCGGGAGACAGTGCCAACAACAGCGTGGGAAGTAACGGCCGAGGCTGCCCGGGCCAGGGGCTGCGGAAGAAGATGGCCTCGCAGCCTGCCTGGCTCAGGGAGGGGTTCTGTCATGTTTACCTTGTCTAGAAGGTGTGCTCTGCACTGAGGGCCTGAAGGCAGAGGCTGTGTCTCTTCACAAGACACAAGAGCCCACAAGAGCCCAGGTCAGTGCTCTGACAAAAGAGACGTGACAAAGACACATGGACAAAATCCCACAAGGACTCCCGTGTCCCCATCTGTGAAATGGGGAAGCCTTGTACCAGCACAGCCTTGTGGTGCAGCCAGTGAAGAGAGGAAAGGATGGGAAGCTTGTAGAACAGCATTTAACACAGAGGGCTAAATCAGTGTGTGTGTGTCAGGGGTTGTGGCTGAAGGGTGGGCACACTTGGGAGCCACCAGCCTCTTAGTCCACGTGTCCCATGTGCCCCTCAGCAGTGTGAGGATGTTTGATGTCTGCCTCCACCCACCTGGGAGCTCCTCAACGGGGATGGGGAGAGTGGCTGGCTGGTTCACCGTTCGACTGTCAGCTTTGCCCAAGCCCAGGCTCAGGCCCAGGCCCAGAACAGAGGCCCCAGACAGTCTGGCCACCTACTGCAGGAACGGATGACACACCCTGCAGGGGAGCCAGGTCCTGCAGTCAGAAGGTCAGAGGAGGGAAGGGAAAGGAGGGACCGCAGCCTTGAACCTGGTGCCTGCCTCTGAGCCCCTCACCTTCGCCCCCTCCAGATCTCCAAGCTTGCTCTTCTTCCTCATCAGCGTGTTGAAGAACGTCACATCAGCCTCCACCTGGTGCATGTCCAGGACGGTCAGCAGTGAGGACTCCGCGGGACTCCCGGGCTCCACCACCTCAGCAAGCAGTGTGAGGGTTTTGATGTTGGGTCGGAGCCCGTGCTCTGCCATCTTGCCCAGGAAGCCCTCCAGGCCCCCCATCAAGGCTAGCCGGTCAGCCGGGGTGGTCACAGTCCCAAAGGAGACCACAGCTGGGGAGACTGCTCCCAAGGTCAGGAGGTTGGTCTCCGGCCCCCGGGGAGAAGGCTCTGGGGCCAAAGAAGTGAGGGCCACCATGTGGTCAGGCTCTGTCTTGGTTTCCACTTCGGGCTGGGCCTTGCTGGGGCCTCTGGCTTCCTGAGGCTCCAGAGGGCCCTCAAGCACCTGAGAAGGTTCCAGAAACAGCTGCCTCTCCAGGGCCTCCACGTCCAGCCTGACTGACATACCGTCGCCCCCCCGGGCCTGGGCTCTCCTCCTTGCCCGAAACCCACCTGCCAGGGGCTGGAGCAAGACTGTCTCCTCCCTGGGCCTCAGGAGCAGTGCCGAGGCCACCTCCGGGTCCCCCAGGCCGCAGTCTCGAGCTGCCCCCAGGAGCAGGTTGTAGCCATGCTGGCTTGGCTGCAGCCCCAGACTCAGCATCTGCCTCCACACCTACCGGGGAGAGACAAGCTTGGCCCTGTGCTCCTTCTCAGAAAAGCCCTCGGCAGAGCCGGCACAGGGAGTCAACAACCATTCGGTAAATGCAAAGGGCACAGGAAGGAGCTGGGCAGTATCTAATCCAACGCCAGGTTCTAGACAACTGAGAATCCTGAGAATCTGAGGACTCTCTGGAGGACCCCTGTCCTCCCTCTAATTTACCCCAAAACTGTTCTCGCAATTTCATCTCTCTGTCCTCTCCCAAGGCCCCTGTACTGGGAACAGACTTTGCCCTGGGTCTCTGCCTGCCTTCTCTGTACTCCTCTGGGGAGGGACGATCAGAGAGGCTAGGTTCCGGAAGAGTCTAGAATGACTTAAGAACTGGATTTAGTTGTACTTCCTGGGTGCTCACTGTGTGCCCTGCCCCGTGCAGCCTTCTCACACTTCCTGGAGAGCAGGCACAGTGGAAGGGGACTCAACCAGGAAGAGTGCCTCACAAGCTGGCAGCCCTGTTTCCTCTTGAGATCATTTTTATCCCACAGCACAGTGCCTTGCACACTCAAGTGTGTTTTCCACAGAGGACTGCCCTGATCATGTCTGGGTCAGTCTGACACCAAAACCACGCCATTTCTAAGATGCCATGAGATGCCACACAGGGCTCACTGGTCTCACTGCCTTTGTGGGCTCAAAAGAAGGCCACCTTCAGTGGGATGAGAGCTCACATCCGACTTCCTATCCTTGTCAGGGTAAGTGTGCAGACAAGGTAAGGGCTGGTCAGGCCCAGGTGGGTGCAGCTTGCAAGACATCTGCTGCCCATCAGACAGGGATTTAAGAAGGGCAAGGATCTCAGCAGGTACCCCCATGGGAAACGCTGACAGAACTGAGGTTTAGTGGGGGCTTGGGCTCTAAGAGTCAGACGGATGTGGGTTCAAATCCCAGCTCTGCTTCGTAGCTCTGGAACCTTAAGCAAGTTTCTTAACCTCTGTGAGCCTCAGTTTCTTCGTCTGTAAAACGGGGCTATCGGTGCCTAGCTTGAGCAGTTTAATAGGTGCAAAACACAAACCAGCTATTAGCGTTACAAACTACCTCTGACTAGAACAGATCTAGAACAAGGAAAGGGAGGAACAAGATCTTGGCTGATTTTCACTATAAAGCTACTGCTTCCAGGGAGTCTGCAGAAGGAAGGCGAGCTTTTGGTCAGGGCTGTCCCAGGGGACACATGGGCTCACACTCCATGTGGATCAGCCACCTGGGGATCTTGTTGAAATGCTGATCTAGGCGCAGTAGGCCCAGGTGGGGCTGAGACCCTACTTCTCTGGCAAACTCCCAGGTGAAGCTAAGCTGCCAGTCTGTGGGCCCCGCCTTAAGTGGGAGGGCTCTAGGTGAGCTCTGGGTCCTCCCCACCTGTGAGAAGCTACGAAAGCAGCTGTGGTACCATTCCTAATACCACCACCCCACTTCATTGGGGGGGGGGTTCTCTCGGGGGACCTGAGGTGGAATCAGAGCAGTGTGTCTCAACTTCGATGTCCACGAGAATCTCTCAGGATTAAATGTAGACCCCTGGGTCCCACCTGCAGAGATGCTGAGTGGGGGCCTGAGGGAGGTGGGCTGAACAAGCACTCTGGGTAAGTGTGCTATGGGCATTCAGAGACCGTGAGCATAGCCGATCTGAGCTAGCTGCACAGAAGGCCACTCGGTAGAGTGGGAGAGGACTGGCTATGCCCTCACTTGGGGGTCAGCCATGCCGCGTCTGAGGGCCTCCTCTCCCTGCCATCTGTAAAACGGTGGGAAGCCATGTGCTTTGCAGGGGCCAAAATACCACAAATATAAAAACACCCAGCACAGGGCTGTCACAGCCGCTCAAAAGCACACATCATCATCTGCACCTGACACAGGTGCACAGCGGGAGAGGTAGGAAGGCAGAGCTGGGAGGGACAGACCTGCAGGGCATATCGAAAACCCGTCTTCTTGTCCTGGATGCAGCCCATGAGCAGCAAGCTGAAGGTCCTCTCGGTGACTGCATGCCCTTTCTGGACAATTTCCTGGGGGAGGGAACAGAGGTCACACTGAGAACCTGTGGCAGAGCCCAGTCCTGGGCCCGATGGGGCTGACTCAGGGTAGACACTCCTGGCGCACCCCAGGCTGTGCATCCTGAAGAGGTGGGACCTGAATCTGGCTCTAGAGTGGCTCAGAACAAGCTCCTGAGCACAGCCATCCAGCTGCTGCCTGCACTCCGTCCTCCTCTCCTTCCAGGCTGCTCTTCCTGGCCGAAGCGATCACTTTTGTGAAGCCCCTTGGCAAAGACCATCCCCGCAGCCACTTCTAGCCCCTGTGCTTGAGGCACTGGAACTGCACAGAACTGGCTTTAGGTCCCAGCTTCGCCATAGGCCAGCTGTGAGCATGGGAAAGGCATTAAGCTCCCTGGCCTCAGCTTCCTCATCTGTAGAGTGGGGTCACAGGTAGGACGTGCTTTAGAGGACTTTTGGAACAACTCTACCAAAAGGTGTGGGGCCTGCACATGGTACGCGCTCATGGCACTGGCCTCTCCCGGGCTTGTCGGGGTTGGCCAGACTTCCTGAAATTTCTTCCACCACTCAGCACCTCAGAGTCTCCTTAAGCCTGTCTTCCTCTGTCCCTCTTGTGAGCATGGGTGTTCCCACCCTTCCGGTCTGCTGCCGCTCTCCCGTCTCCCCCTCAGTCACCAACTCTTCCATCTCAGTGAGCTTCTAGTTTATGCTCCCTCTTCCTGGACAATCACTGCTCTTTCTGAACTGGGCCCTCTCCCCCATCAGCCAGAGTGACCTTCATAAAATACCAATGCCATCTCTGGACAGGTCAGAGGCCTATTAGCCACACCGCCCTCTTCTGGAAGCTTCAGCCACCAGCCTCTCACACAGCACCTTTTAGAGGGACTTGTCACTCAGGGAGGTCTCCAGACTTGAGACCCCATGATCCTGCCTCTCCCACAGGCCAGGCCGGCTCAAGGCAGCCAACCCAGGGACTGGTCAAAGGCTGTCCCGCACCACATGGTACTTAGACACTCCATTGGGTCCTGGCTCCTGCAGTGCGCAGGTGGGACCTCACTGGAGAAGTGAGGAAAAGCATCGGTCAGTCATAGGAAGACTGAGACAGAACTTAAAAGTAGAGAGCAGGCCGGCCCTGAGGGAAGACAACGCTGCCAAGGGTGTGTCCAGTTCTCCTGAGGTTTGGTCGTAGGCACCTAGAGCCTTCCCTGCTTCCCATGAGCCTTTGTCTGGGTGTTAACTCATGTTGATCTCCCTTCACAACCTGAGAGTGCAGAACCACCACCCTGCTCTTGGTCCTCCCTGCTTAAACCTCCCTCACTGTCTCCTTCTCCGGAACTGGAGATAAAAACCCTGCAGCTGGGGAATAAAAGAGGCTGCAGGCCAAAGCCCTGAGGCATTCGGGCCCCTGCTCAGCACTCCCATGAGCCCACTCACCTGCTCCCCTCAAACCTGGCACACTGACCTGCCAGACTCCGCCCTCCCAGAAACCAGGATTTTTCTTCCCACTGCTCTCTCTAGGCAGGAGGCCTGCCCTGCTGGGCGCTGACTTGCCCTCAGCGCTATGAAGCCCCGCCCTCCTCTGCGGCACCACCGAGTCCCGCACAAGGAGACACAGCACACAGCGGCACACACAACCTGCCTGCACAGGGGAGGGGCCTCTTTATGTGTCCCACGAGGCCTCTGAGTTGTGAAGCCACCCCTGACCCCTGCACGAGGGACGCAGCCACAACCTCACACCTGCCACGTGAGACTGGCCCCAAGCGGGGGATGAGGAAGGAAGAGGCACCCTCACCTTGAACACATCGAGGCACATCCTGAGGTCTGCGCACATGGCGGCCATCTTCAGCAGTGCATGGTATGTTTTCAAGTTGAGCTGGAAGTTTCTGGCCTGGAGCTGCTGCCGGAGCTTCAGGGCACTCTGCAGAGCAGAGTCCTTCCAGGGGGACTCAGCGCAGACGTTGAACAGGGCCGTATATGTGGCATCTGAGGGCTCCAGGTCCCGCTTTTTCATCTGCATTGATGGGAAGAAACTTGGAAGTGGCTCTGGGGTCAGCTGGACACACAGGTGACAAGCTGCCCTGAGAGGAAGCTAGAGAGGACTCTGTTCCTCCATTAAACAGGCCCCCAGCAGGGCCTGTGCTAAGGTGGAGCTGAGCAATATGCCAGGGCCTACTTCTCCAAAACCCTGACTCAGCCAGAGGGACTCTGAAAGCTAACCCTGCACTCCAGATGCACCAAAGTCACCCTCCCCATGGCCATCAGCCCACTCTGGGCCTGAGATGCTTTTAGCAGGATCCTCCAGATGCTCCCACCCACTGGCCGACGAGGTCACCTTGACTGTGAAGATCCATGGGGTGGACGTGGTCTGGGGAAAGGTAGGAGGGAACAATCAAACCCCTGCTCCCACATTTCCTGAGTGGTCACGGGCAAGCTAGCTCCTCACTGGAAAAATGGGGGTGATACCATCATCTTGAAAGGCTGTTGCAAGGGCCAGGTAGGAGAGTGGCCCCCACACTAGCAGCACATCTCAGGATCCCCCACCCTGCAGAGTCACACACCCAGGAGTGAGGCTGACGCTGTGCTTATGAAGCCCTCCAGGTGACTGAGGAAGCTCGAGTTTGAGAAGCTCCTGGTAAAGTCAAGTGCTATTTCCCAGACGAAGGCCACCTGACTGAGGGCAGGTGACAAGCTGCTTGCAGAGGAGTGTAAAGAAACTTCTTTTTAGAGTCAGGCTGTTTGGGGCTCAAATCCCAGCTCCAGTGCTCTCAAGCAGGGTAACTCTGGACATAGCACTTTATCTGCCAGGGCCTCCGTTTCCTCCTCTGAAAAATGAGGATGGTGATCCTGACTTTGAGAATGGATGATGCGTGCTCTGTGTGGACTCATATATACAACAGACGTGTATGAGGACTTCCTACAAGCCAGGCACTGGCCACCAGTGGTTACCAGGACAGACACAGCTTGTATTCATTGAGCTCATGCTCTAGACAGGAAGAATCATACCAGACAAATAAGTAACCAACAACAGTAGTAGCAGCTATGAAGGACACCCACAGAAAAATGGAAAAAGAAAACCAGTACAGGTGGGGAGACCTGGCAAACACTACTTTCACCAAGTGACCAAGAAGGTAATGTCATTTGTGATTGGTCCCGTGACACGAAGTGAAGAGGGCACTTCACCTCTGTGATATTCTTTCCCCAAGCCCATAACCCCAACCTCATCACAAGAAAGTACAAATTGATCAAAAAACTAAAAATTGAACTACCCTACGACCCAGCAATTGCACTACTAGGTATTTATCCAAGGGATACAGGTGTGCTATTTCGAAGGGACACATGTACCCCCATGTTTATAGCAGCACTATCAACAATAGCCAAAGGATGGAAAGAGCCCAAATGTCCATTGATGGATGAATGAATAAGATGTGGCATATATATCCAATGGAGTATTATTCGGCAATCAAAGAGAATGAAATCTTGCCATTTGCAACTACATGGATGGAACTGGAGGCTATTATGCTAAGTGAAATTAGTCAGAGAAAGACAAATACCACATGACTTCACTCGTGTGAGGACGTTAAGAGACAAAACAGATGAACATAAGGGAAGGGAAACAAAAATAATATAAAAACAGGGAGGGGGACAAAACATAAGAGACTCATAAATATGGAGAACTGAGAGTTACTGGAGGGGTTGTGGGAGGGGGGATGGGCTAAATGGGTAAGGGGCATTAAGGAATCTACTCCTGAAATCATTGTTGCACTATATGCTAACTGATTTGGATGCAAATTTTAAAAAATAAAAAATAAAATTTAAATTAAAAAAAAAAGTACAAATTGAGAGACATTCTATAAAATCCTTGACCAGCACTCCCTAAATCTGTCAATGTCACAGGGGGAAAAAAAAGGAAACTCAAAAAAAATAATAATAATCACAAAATGGAGAAGCCAGTATGAGAACCCAGACTGGATACAGGAATAGAAAGAGGATATCAATGGAAAAAGTGGTGAGATCCAAGTAAAGTCTGGAGTTTGGTTAACAGTAATGTGCCAGTGGTGGTTTCTTAGTTTTGACAAATGTACCTTCACTATGTAAGATGTTAATATGGGGATTAGCTAGGTGAGAGGTATTTGGGAACACATATCTTTGTAGCTTTTTTATAAATCTAAACTTATTCCAAAATAAAAAGTTTATTGGGGAAAAAAAGCAGCAAATTGATAGAGAATAAAAAGAATGAACGGATCTTCTCCGAGGTGATATGTGCCAATTCCCTTAAGGATCCCCGAAGTGTAAGGAAGTGCCTGCTACTGGACTGTTTACCAAGAACCACAATAAATACCCTCTCGCCCCACCTGCCCCTCACTTACCACCTGAATGCTCGTTGCTGGCTAGCTGATCATGTCTTTCTACACCATGGTATTTAATTAGGTTTTTTAGAGGACATGTTACTTTATCATTTGTAACCACAACTCTTCCCCCTTGCTTCCAGCCAGGGATCATCAGGCCTACAGTAAGAGCATCCCAAATGACCAGCCGAGGGCTGCCAACAAGTCCTGCTGGGAGAAAGGATGCTCCCAGCTTCTGGCTCCAAGAGAGGATGGGGTCTCTTATACTGGAGTCTACTATCCTCTTTGGCAAAGCTCTCTCCTGACTCACAAAAGAAACAGCATCCTGGCTCTGCGAGTGATAAATACAACACAAGAAGTGGATGAATATAAAGTAAAATCATCTTCCAAGAGAAGTAAAAGCCCTTTTTTTCTGAAAGAAGGGTGTGCATGTGCATAGAGCGTCGGGGGTAAGGAGGAGAAACAAACTGGGGGTGGGTAGCAGTGGAAAAGGAAGAGGTTGGGTGGCGCCTGCCCTGGTCGGAGGACTTACAAATTCATGTAATCTTCCAAGACCACCTCCAATTTACAGATGATGAAACAGAGGCTGGGAAGGTTAAACGGGCTGGGAAGGTTAAATGGTCTGACCAGGGTAATGCACCAGCAGGTGACATCTCATGATATGCACCCAGCTCCTTTTGACTCTAAAGCCCATGCTCTTTGGAGCACAATTCTGCCCCTGCGTCTCCAGCCCCACTCACATCATTGGCAGAGGCCGCGGCTTCAGTTATCGCCGCCACAGCCCCGATCAGCACCTGAGGGTTGCATTAGGGGGCTGGAGTCGCTCCTCCTTCAGCATCTGCCTCTCAAACAGCTCCAGGGCCTCTGCCAGCTGGCGGGGGGGGGGGGCATGGAAGGGGGCTCAGGTCAGCCTCAGAGACCCTCAGCAAAAGGGAAGGAGACTGAGACTGAGGGACCCTCCCAGGCGTGCCCAGGAGCCACACATCCGCCCTGGGCCTCTGCCACCAGCTTCTTGGTTCCTGTGCTCTGCAACAAGGGAGCTTCGTGGTGGCCAGGAAGAAAAGCCCCCTAAACTCCCACCACCTACAAAAGCTCTCAGCCCCCTTGCCATGCCTGCCTTCCCTCCAGCCAGATGTTAAAGTCCTCAAAGGCTGGGCCATGTCTTTGCCTGTCTGTGGGCCTAGAGTGGAGCCAGGCCTCATCCTCAGTAAGTCCTCAGAAAATATTAATTCTGCAGATCCTGGAATCTGCCCTCCCCCTCCTTCCTTGGTGACCCCATCTGTAGTGCCAGCCCCCTGGGTCTAAGCTGGATGGGAGACTGGGTTCTGGCCAGTTTGGTAGGTACACTCAGGGCCACTGTGCTGCACAATCACAGGGGGCCATTCACAGCAGCAGCCTCCTGAGATGGCACAAGACGGCAGCCCTGAATGACTAGCTTCCTCTGGCTGCAAATCCCCTTGGCCCATAGTCGTCTCTACCCCATCCCTACTCCTATACCACCCCCTTTAAATCCTCAATTCACTCCTTTACAACTTAATTATTTTCTTTGTCCATCGGTTCAGCCAGTAATTACTGAATCCTACTATGTACCAGGCAAAGTCTATTCGCTGGGATACAGCTATGAACAAGAGGGAGATCCCTCATGGAACACATCTTCTAGTGTGGAAAGAGACACCAAATGAGATAACTAAGAAAAATATACACTGTGTCAAATGGTGATAGGTTTTAAAACAAAAATAAAGCAAGCAGTGCCAAAAGAAGGGTATGGGAGATTCAGTTTTAGATGTGACAGCCAAGCAGGGCCTCAACCAGATGACAGAACAGCGATCTGAAGGAGGCGAGGGAAGGAACCATGCAGCTATCTGAGAAAACAGCCAGTGCAAAAGGCTTGAGGCAGGAGTCTCCCTGGGAGTTGGAGAAGCAGAGAGGAGGCCAGAATGGCTGTGGCACAGTGAGAGAGGGGGAGATGAGTGGAAAGCTAAGGAGGGTGGAAGGTAGATCTTGCAGCCTTCATAAGCTATTGTGAGGCTTTGACTTCTCTGTTTCTCAACTTTTCGTTATGGAGAAGTTCAAACAGGGGTCCCTGGGTGGTTCAGTTTGTTAAGCGTCTGACTTTTGATTTCGGCTCAGGTCGTGATCTTGCAGTAAGTGAGATCGAACCCCGCGTCAGGCTCTGTACTGACAGCGCGGAGCCTGCTTGGGATTCTCCCTCTCCCTTTCTCTCTCTGCCCCTCCTTTGCTCACACTCTCTCTCTCTCTCTCAAGATAAATAAACGTTAAAAAAAAAGAAAAGAAAGAAAAGTTCAAACGCACACAAAAGAGAATAGAACTACAATGATGATGAATGTTCAGCCAATCTTGTTTCACCATACCCTGTTCCCGCCCCTTCCAAACTGAATTTTTTAAAGCAAATTCCAGACATTGCATCATTTCATTCCCCAAATCTTCAACACACACCCCTAAGAGATTTTTAAACATAAATGCAATGTCTTTATCAATACTTAATAAAATGAACATCAATGTCATTGAACACATTGAGAGTCCTGGAAAGAATCTTCTTTCTGCTTTAATAGGATGGCTCTGTGCTGCAAGCAGATGTGGGAGAAAGAGGTGGTGTGAGCAGCAGGGAGCCCAGTGACAAGGGTTTTGATAGCTGAGGGGCTGAGGTTAAGGCTAGGGGTAGCCCTGAGGGAAGTGTTAGGACTGGAAACATCTTGAACCTGGAGCTGGTGAGAGAAAGAGAAGAGTTGGGGATGGCCTGAAGGCATCTGGCCTGAGAGGCATCGCCATTTAGTGAGATGAAGACAGTGCAGGGAAAACAAGGCTGTGAACAAAACCTTCAGATGAATGTGGGTAAGTGTAAGGGAGATGGTGAGGTAGCTGGATATGCAGATTGGGAAGGATGGGCTGAGGATACCAACATGAGAACTGTAACAAGGAGGGGGACCCTGACAGCAAGGGGGTTGGTGGGTCACCTAGTGCAGCACCCAGGGTGAGTGAGGACAGAGAAGAGCCCTGAGCATCCAAATATTTAGAGATAGGGAAGGTAGGGTGGCCCTTCAAGAATACTGAACTACCAAGAAGTAGACCCAGGAGCAGCAGAATCCAAAGGTTCCCTCACCTTTCCTTCTTTGATCAGGTGTTTGCACCGGAAGAAGTACCAGTAAGGGGTGTTTTTCCGGCCCCGCCATGGCTTTGGCTCCAGGTCCCTCTCCTCATCTTCGTCAACACTCGGTTCCCTGAGCCGTAGGTTGTACAACTGGGCTGTCGATTTTTGGAACATTCTCCTTGAGGAATATTTGTTGGAGAGGGTCCCAAAGCTCTCTTCCTCTTCCTCCTGAGTGGCCATGGGGCCGGGCTGGCTCAGGTCAGAGCTGACGCTGCTCCTGTTCTTCTGGTTCCCCTGGCCAAGGGGCAGTTGAGAGGGGGAGCTGCTGCAGGCTTGTGTCAGCCCCGCGGCCCTCAGCCATTTAGGCCCCTCCCTGCCTCCTGCCCATTTGGCTCTGAGAGGGTCAAGGTGCTGAAGGGCATACAGTCCCACTGGGCGAGGGCCGGAGAAGAGCCGGGCGAATCTCACAAGGTCCATCTCTGGCTCTTCCCCTCTAGGGCCTGGCAAGGTCAGAAAAAGAATGAAGTCTAACTGGTCTTGTAGTCACAAAAGGCAGAAAGAGGACACAGAAGTGAGTACAAGCACAAGCTCTGAGATTAGAAAGCCCAGGTTCAGATTTCAGTTTTGCCAAACCATCATCCACGAGTCTCCCAGCACTGGCTGCTCTGGTCTCAGTCTCCTCCCCTGTAAACTGGGGTCAACTACAGCACTGTAGCAATGATCATATGAGGCTTCGGATACATGGCCTGCGGCATGGTGCTGGCATAGTAAACACCCGACAGACATAAGCTATTGATATTATCAAGCCATGATTTAAGAGATCGGGGACTGAAGGTTGAGCTGAGTTTGAGTCCTGTGGGACTAGGCCCATTACTTGACCTTCCTGTGCCTAGATATCATCAGCTGCAAGATGCAGATAATCCGAGGTGCCTAGGTGGCTCAGTCAGTTAAGCGTCCAACTTCAGCTCAGGTCATGATCTCGCGGTTCGTGAGTTCAAACCCGGCATCTGCTCTGTGCTGACAGCTTGGAGCCTGGAGGCTGCTTAGGATTCTCTGTCTCCCTCTCTCTGCCCTCCCCCACTCACGCTCTCTCTCTCATAAATAAATAAACATTAAAAAAATAAAAAAAATTTAAAAAGTGAGGATAATCCTACCGACCTCACCACGAGGGTAAAGATTAAATGAGGTATTTTTAGCACATTTCATTTAATAGAAATTTTAGAAATCGTAGCTATTATAATGTATTATTAGGAAAAATTTGTCAGCATTCTGGGCCTCTGCACAGGGAAGTTAATTCAAACGTGTCTTTTCTGCAAAATCTGTGGGTAAATGGACTAGGGGTATGTTGTCCAATATAGTGGCCACTGGCCACACGTGGCTACTGAACACTTAAAACATGCCTAGTCTGAATGAAGATGTGCTTTAAGTAAAATTACACACCAGATTTCAAAGACTGTGTCCAAAAAAAAAAAAAAAAAGTTAAAATATATATACGATAATCTTTTGACATGACATTTTGAAATAATTTTGGACATACCGGCTGAAGAAATTAGCAGGCTTTCCCAATTTTATCTATATAATACAGTAGAAATTTTAAATCTGTCGCTTTTTTTATTTGTGTATTTCTATCGGACAGCTAGACATCCTGGTCTGCATACTTGAAACTCTTTAATAAAGAAAAAAACAGAAGCCCTCTCTGGGTGGCGCGGAAGTCGGTCTACGCGCTCCGGCTTCAGCACCGATCATCCTCTGGTCGGGGAGTTCGAGCAACCAGCAGAGGTGCTCGGGCTGAGCGGCCAGGCTGAGCCTGTTTTGCCCGATTACTGTGTCTCCCTCTCTCTCCTCCGTTCATGCTCTGTCTCTCTCTGTCCCAAAAATAAATAAATGTTGAAAAAAAAATAAAAAAATAAAAATAAAGAAAAAACACCAGAATAGCCAGCCTGAAAATATTTTAGGATCTAGTTATATTAGAAGGTCACAGTTGGTAAGACTGCAGAAGTGACTGCAGATTGAACAGATTAGTAACTGAGGCTCAGGAAGGGGAGCAACTGGCTGGGGGGTCCTGCCGCAGTACAGTGGAATATCAGGGTAAGACTGGCCAGCTGTGGAACTGGGCTTGGGCTGACTTCCAATCCAGGTCCGAGTAAGATATTGGACAGCCTCTTTTGACCACCACCCTAGTGACATTAGCACAAAGGGCCTTTTCCACGTTGGATGAGGCCTGCAACTCTAACAGAAATATAACATGAGCACATACATAATTTAAAATTTTCAGGTAGCCATATTAAATAAAGTGCTTATATGCATTAAATGAAACACATAGCACTGCAAGAAAAAAAAAACCCAATGATATCAAAATAGGTATCAAAACGTTTTGGAAAACAAACTCATGCTACATTAGTTTATACGCTGCTTTTGCAACACACTGAATACCAAGATTCTGTCATCCTGTCAAAGCAGTGATGGGCGTAAATGATAGCTTGTAAGTAGTTGCAGATACTCTATGTCCAACCATCATTTACCCTCCTCCCCACTGGAAATCACGACTTAGTTTAGGGCACTGCTAACGTTACTCCGTCACGGAAGGAAATGCTCATTTCACACAGAGAAAATTAAAGGTGTAATTTTCTTCCTCCCCAAGTTCATTAACCTGCCCAAGCTAATAACCCCTGATTTAGGGACGCGCTGCCGCTGGCCACTCTGGGGGATCCGCCCCTCGGCAGACGCTCCCAGGGGCCCTTTGGCCAGCCCGACCACTCCACACCGGCCTTTAGAGCCTCGGTCGTCTCACTAGACGTCGCCCACTCCGACACCGGCGGTGACACTCGCGGCCCCTGTCCTGTCCCGGCCCAAGTACTGGGCTCCAGGAAAGGTCAAATGGGCTCCCACTCGAAAAGTCTGGCCCAGAGAACGCAGCCCGGACTTCCAGCCCCGCGTCACCCCCAGTGCGGCCCCGCGTCACCCCGCCGCGTCGCCCCCACTCGCGTGCCCGCCTCACAGCGCCGCGCACCAGGCCCTCCTTCCCGGCCACCTTCCCGTAGGCACGCGTCTCCGCCGACTTCGCGCAGGCTCAGTCCGCTACGCGAACTCCCCACCCGGTGCGCGCGGACGCAGGTTATCCCGTGCAGCGAGGCGAGGCAGGAGATCGGCGGGCAGCTAGTCGGGCCTGGCGGGGCGGCCCGTACTCCGCGCTCTATTGGCCGGGTCTGGACAGGCGAAAGGCCGGCGCGGGCTCCGGGAGCTCCCGGCATCCCTCGGGCGGCGGCGGCGGCGGCGGCGGCGAGGCGAGGCGAGACGAGGCGGAGGACCGTGAGCGGTGGGGCCGGTGGCGGGTAGAGGTGTGAGGGCGGCGAGGGACCTCAGGGGTAGTCGGGCCGGTGTGGCCGCCGCCGCCGCCATGCAGGAAATCATCGCCAGCGTGGACCACATCAAGTTCGACTTGGAGATCGCAGTGGAGCAGCAGCTCGGGGCACAGCCGCTGCCCTTCCCCGGCATGGACAGTGAGCGCGGGGCCGGGGCTGCGGGCTAGGGGCGCGACCGACTCTGCCCCGGGACCCCTCTCCCTCGGTTCCGGGGCCTGCTCCCCATCGGGCCTGGGACTCTTTTCCTCCCCATTCTGGGACCCCCTTCAGGCTCGGGAGCCCCCCTTTCTTGGATCTTTGATCCCCTGGGGCTGTCCCAATACAACCTTCAAGAGGGCAGAACCATGTCTGGCTGTTCAAATAATTCTTGAATGAAAGCGAGTGTCCTGGATTGGAAATTACTTCGCTCCCCCAAATAAAGGAAAATAATTAGATATCCACCTTTTCCACTTGCTCCCCACTTTCAGCACCCTCTTCTTGCTTTCATCGGTACTGGGCGGTTGGAGGAGTCTTGCTGGAGGAAGGACCACCTGTCCCTCTTTGTAGGAGATTCCCAATTAGACACTCAAGCTCCATTCTTCTGAGACTTGCCCCCCTGGGAGCCTATCCCTCACTTTTTCTCTGGACCCCAACTCTGTGTCATTCATCACAGCTGGGCAGCTGCCTGAGCTCCCTTCCTTCTCCACCTTCAGATGGTAGCTCCTGGCTCCCCCACCCCCCAACTTAGGTGGATGTCTCGCACTTTATTTTTATTTATTTATTTTCTAAAGTAGGCTCCACGTCCAGCATGGAGCCTGATGCCGGCTTGAACTCACAATCTTGAGATCAAGACCTGAGCTGAGATCAAGACTTGGACACTTAACTGACCGAGCCACCCAAGTGGTGCTCCCATGTCTAGCACTTTTTTAAAAAAAACCCAGCAGTTTTCTTGTTTCCTTTCTGGACACACTTGGAATCTGATGTTGTAACATTAAAGCCTAGAGGTCATTACGTTCAATCCACAGATGGGGCAACTGAGGGCTGGGAGGGGGAAGGGACTTGTGGAAGACCACTTGGTCTATGGCCATTCAGTACCTAGTAAAACCAGGTGAGCTCTCCAGTGTTCTTGACTGGTTCGGGCTGCGGTTCCCTATGTTGTGTTTTATGACTGCCAGAGATCCATGTTCTCCTACCAGTCCGTGGCCTGGAAGAGCCCCCTGTAGCCTCATTCCCCTCAAGTGGCCACACTTCTCATGCACAGTCTTAGCCCTCTGGACCATCCCATGTCCGAACTGGGGGTAATTAACTTCTGTGATCTTATGCCCTAACCTTTCCACAGCCACTTGAAAGCATCTTGCTTATAGGAGGTTCTCAGAATAACTGGTCCCAGCATATGTGTCTCATGTTGCAGGGAATGGCTAAAATGAGCAGCTTTTTTCTGGCTTGGTCTGGCTTTGCATTTTTTTGCCAGAACGTTTCCTGTACCCTTTGTGGTTAAAGGCAAGAAGGGTCCCCTCCCTGTGTTTTCAGCTGTCCCTAGTCACACCTCACTTTGTTTGATGTCTCTGTTTTCCTTTCTGCAGAGTCAGGGGCTGCTGTCTGCGAATTCTTTTTGAAAGCTGCCTGTGGCAAAGGTAAGAAATCACTGGCTCCCCGACATTCCTCCTGAGGTGCTTTCCACTACCCAGCCTTCAAGCAGACTTATAGGCTGTCAGGTCTGGTTTGCTGCAGACTAAGTGTCCCTAGATGAAATCACTGTGCTTTGGATAGGCTAGGAACACTATGGGGTATTTTGTCTGAAATTTAAAACACAGGATGGACCCTCACTCTGAGTCTGCCTTCTCACCTCACTTTCCCTGTGGCCACGAGCTGACCTGTGACATGGGCAGAAGGTGTGAGTATTGAGGTGTTCAGGCACTTTTTCAAGATTACAGAGTTAGTGAGTGGCTGAGCCAGTGTCTGAACCCAAGCCTTTCTGATTCTACAGTCTGCACAAGCTCACTGTCCTCTGTATCCTCTCATGAAAAACCCCTACAATAGTCTGTCCTGTGGAGCTTTGTTCATACTAACCAGGCTCCAACGGAGGCTGCTGGAACCAGACCATCCATTGATTCATAAGGAGACAGATTGCAGGTGAGACCTTACATGCCATGTATAGGTCTGGGCATTTTTCTTCCTGTAGGCAAATTTATTTGGAAACTAAATTTTTTTTTTTTTTTAGCGTTTATTTATTTTTAAGACAGAGAGAGATAGAGCATCCGACTTTGGCTCAGGGCGTGATCTCGCAGTCCATGGTTTCAAGCCCCACGTTGGGCTCTGTGCTGACAGCTCAGAGCCTTGAGCCTGCTTCGGATTCTGTGTCTCCCTCTCTCTCTGATCCTCCCCCATTCATGCTCTGTCTCTCTCTGTCGCAAAAATAAATAAACATTAAAAAAAATTTTTTTAAAGAAAAAAAAAGAAGAGTTTCCAAAAAATAATAGTAATAAAAATAAATGAAATGATATAAGTTTCCAAAAATAATAATAATAATAATAATAAAATGAAATGAAATAAAAATAAATACGAGTTTCCAAGGGTGTAGCTCTGTCCCATCTGGGTGGCTGGTCGCTCAGTTCCTGGCCACAGAAGGCCAGTTTGTATACAGAGCATTTCTTCAATTCTGAAGTTGATTTTCTTTCCTAATTCTTGGAGGCTAAGTGGGCATTTATAACTAGAGGTGGAGCCCACTTGGGGTCCAGGCTTCTGCTGGTATCCTCTTTACCTTCTGTTTCTTAGAGCCATGTTTCCCAAACCCCAATGTTTTTTTTTTTTAACTACCCCTACAATTTTTGCTATGTCTGTGTATCACTAAAGCTATTCTTTAATTAACAAATAAGCTTATTTCCCCACCACCCGAAGGCTTATTAAGTTTCCATCTTACTGCAGCCAATTAAGCCGACTGTGCTCTTTTCCTATGGGGCCCGGTGTGGTGTGCCTGCAAACAGCAGCCTCCTTGGTGGTCTATACAGCCTGTTGATTGTATGGGTTGCCCTAAGGGACCTCGGAGACAGCTTTTTCTGGTGGACATTGAAGTTTGGCCTCACGCTTTCTCCAGTCTAGGCTCCAGACAGGCATGCGGGTGCCTTTGGAAAGCCCCAGGGCACAGTGGCCAGGGTCTGCATTGGCCAAGTCATCATGTCCATCCGTACCAAGTTGCAGAACAAAGAGCATGTGATTGAGGCCCTACTCAAGGCCAAGTTCAAGTTCCCTGGCCACCAGAAGATACACATTTCCAAGAAGTGGGGCTTTACTAAGTTTAATGCAGACGAATTTGAAGACATGGTGGCAGAAAAGCAGCTCATCCCAGATGGCTATGGGGTCAAATACATCCCTAATCGTGGCCCCTTGGACAAATGGTGGGC